TTCAATTGGGGGCTATTACAGACAAAAAAATTGGTGGAAAAAAATTTTCAATTTTGATTTATACCCCCCCGAACATTGGTCCAGATGAGTTTTGGGCCATTTTGGGCCCCTCTAACTTAAAATGAAACAAGCTACTTTCTTTCTGTTTAAATATTTGAAATCTACAGCAAAAAATAGCCCAGATTACTAAGTTTGAAATGTCTGGGGGTATAGTTTTAAATATATGGCCCTTTAAACATTGAATTTCGTGACGTGACGCACTTTTGGCCCCGCCCACCTCAAATTTCAAAATGCTGTTGCGCAAGAACGAAAAGTCGTAGAGACCCCAAATTTTCAGAATTTGCATTCTCCTAAGTATCTTTCAGTACACCAAAAAAGAAAAAAATCCAAGAGGTGATGGTGTGCACCATTTGTTGAGTTGGCATGGAATGACCCTTCTTGGGGTTTTCCTCCCCCCTCTCTAAACTGTAATTTGTTCTCGTCGTCTTCTCTCTACAGGTTTCTTCAGGCTTGCGCCTAGGGCACTCTTGGGGATCCTTGGTTTCTTTACCAGAAATAAAATAATAATAATAATAATCCCAACATCAACTGACACCAAAACTGGCATTCATTCTCAATCCTCGACATCCTCTAAAACCAGCAGATTGATTTTGGAGGATTGAGGCGAGGGTTAATGGAAAGAGTAATTTATCATTTTGTTTTATAATAATTTTTTAAATGCTTACTTTCTTCCAAGATGTCCACATATGGCATTTTTACTTTATCGACAAAAGCACCGTACCCTAACGGAAATCTTTAGTGATGTTTTTCATGACCTTGGCTGGAAAAGAAGAAGAAACTGAATAAATTAATCTCCTTATTTATTTTTCTCACTCAGAGGCAATTTCAATTTGTCTGCACTACACACAAGAAATAGTAAAATCCAAAAAATGTAACATTATTTTCAAACCGGCAAACTAAGGCAAAAGAAAAAAAGAAAAATCTTGCTTGAAAAAGATTGACATCCAATCTTGGGATCTATGGAATCATTTCAATGTCATAATTTTACTGTTTCCAAGAACTGGTGAGATAAAAAATATAATATTGAAAACATTGATATATTTGAGGAAACATTTAAAATTAATGCATTCTTCCTTATTGTGAAATCCACAAGGTTACTTCAAGTAAGGTTCTTAATAATTATTCAATAAGACAATTTCTGAGCAACTGTAAGCAATCTGATGGTAGGCCTTTAATAACTAATTCGTGGCATTATTATTCTTTTACTAACACTCAAAACAGAATAGGATAATGCAAGTAACATATGCCACAGCAATTCACTCAAACTCAAGACGATGAAGATTGTGATGATGATGAGCATAGCAGATGAAACGAGGACCGGGTCGATGATGTATATTTAACTGGAAAATTATCCATTAATCGCTTGGCCATTGGTGCATGTCTTGGGTTACACAGTGCCCTGTGCATGTACTCACGACCTCAAATTGTTGACAGTTGGGTGAATATTTTGTCTGTCGGAATGTTTAAACAGGATTTGTTTACAATATTTGTTTGTACTGTAGGTTTTACTTGTCCTGTGTCATTTTATGGTTAAACAATACCCTGTACCCGTCGTGAGTGATCTGTCATAAAATACAAAGCTATTGTGCTGTACAGGGTGAGTAAAAAAAAAAAAACCCAAATGGCGCCCGCGATTTTGTAAAGAAGTTCTGCATGTGGCACGTTCAAGATCTAGGATGTAAAAGCCCAATTAATAAGCTTTATTTTAGTAAAAGAATTGTTCATATCACTCATGTACATGTACATTTCATGTTATGGACTTTTTAAACACAAACACAGTTTTATAATTTTGTCCACGGATCACAATAAAAGTAAGAGATATTTCAGCTAAACGAAAACAATTCACATATCCCAAAAAAATATCATAACACTTCTCATATTACTGGCACTTATCATAAACACCTTCTGCTTCCAATGTTAAAACAATATACTTTATAATGTCAACAGTTTATAGTCTTGCCCTGCCTTCTATTTGCCTACCCCGGAAACTTATGGGATTATTCTGATATCGTTTTCATGATACGACATGGTTTCATTTTACTGAAATATCACATACCTTAAATGAGATCCGTGGGTAAAATTATAAAACCGTGTTTGTGACTTAGTGTTCAAAATTCCATAACTCAAAAAGTTCATGAGTGATCCGAATGATTCTTGTACTAAAAGAAAGCTTATTAATTGGTCTTTCACATCCTAGATCTGGAAAGCGCTACATGCAGAACTTCTTTACAAAATAGGGGGGCGCCATTTGGGTTTCCTTTTCTTTCACTCACCCTGTATACTGTATGCCATCATAGCGTCTCTAAAATTCAACTAGCTCAAAACATCATACTGTACATCTCTCTTTTGCTTTCTCTGAAAATTGCCCAAAAAAAATCTCCCAATAACTGACCGTAACAATAAATATTTTTTTGGTTTCACTTTTGGTAATTATTTTTTTAGGGTTATAATAACTCAAAATGTTAGGGCTGAATTTCCCCTTGTGTGGGAAAACAAAATACAATCCACATGAAATTTAGCTGGTGCTGCATTTCATATCAATTTGTAATGTCAAAACCTTCCCTGATGTCACAAAATCATTTTCACTTTCCCTCTTGAATATGAGCCATCATTTAGGGTTAAAGTTCTTTTGGCTTATAAAATTACTAACCAAGTTTATCGCCGAGCCCTTTTAAGCTGTCCAAGTCGTTGGCCATAGACTGCGACAGGTCCATCACGTAATATAAATCCACAGGAAAATCCTCAGCTTGCCGGATGTTCAACTGAACCCTGGTAGGCTCACCTGAAAAAAAAAAAAACAATAAATAGTGTCAAGTAAATATCTTTCAGTATTTATAACCGAACCCATCCGCAGGCCTCTCTACAAGGGTCATGCTGTAAGTTTTGGGTTTTCTTTTTTTTCCTGTCCCAATTACATGTACATCCGACATACTATTATTTTCTACTTCTGCATGCACTCCTTAATGCAGTGTCAGATTCGTGAAGATCCTAGCGAAAGTGCTTGAGGTATTATGGATCACATTATGTCTGGCCATGCCACAATGCTGAATACCATTGGATGAACATTCCATTTAACACTTTCATTTCATTTAGGCGAAGTAAAAAAAACAAAACATGTTGCTCGTCCCCGCCCGCTTCCTTTTTGGAGGCCGCCTGGATTTTTTATTATTTTTTATTTTTGAAAAATGCAGTAAAAAAAACACCGAAAAAGTCCACAAATTCATCGGAAATAAATTGTGGACCAATACAAGTCTAAATGACACTGTAAATGCATGTATGTTCAGTTCTCTTGTCCAACTTATCTTTCATTTTATAAGTGTCTTTGAACAGTGGAAACACCAACAATTGCAGGAAATTTGTAAATGGTGGCCATCTTGAAACAAATAAAAAATGAAACAAATAAAAAATAAAAAATAAACAGCCCCGCTTCCTCCTTTTTTTTCGAAAAACCCGGACGAGAAACATGTTTTTTTTTATTCGGCCTCATAGTTAGTTTCTAGATTTGTTATTTTTAAAGGCTCCAATACGTGATGACACATATCGCAACTTTTACAATGTTTAAAGTACAGTACATTTACTATACAGCATCATCAAAACATGTCATATGGAAGAATACACTGAAACTTAAACCATGACAATTATATTAAAAAAACAAAACCCAGAGGTTTGTTTAAAAAAAAAGATGTTTTAGTGATTTGTCAGCCCAGACATGAGTTTCCGTGTGTTGAAAACTAAAAAGAAATCCACCCTTTTCATAAATCACAAATGAAAATATAGAGTTTCCTGTTTTTAAAACCCTGAAATTGTCGGACTAAAAAAAAAAATTCATGCACAACTTCCCATTCAGGCCAAGCACGCTGACAGCACAGGCCTTACAATTTGAACCAACCCACCAGCCCAATCTATTGTCCGGACTCCTTCAACCTTGAAACACAGGTCAACGACAATCAGGGAACCAGACCATTTCTGAGGGCTCCCCATTGTCCCGATTTCCTTCGAACAACTTCAACATGGCCCAAAAGCCCTGATTTCATTACACTACCCTATTGGTAGATTTTTTTTAGAGTGCTTTTATCAATACGGTCTCAATGGTTTAATGGTGGTGTATATGACGGGTGGCGACGCTGAGATAATTCTGTTGAGGCGAAATTTAGTTTGTTTCTCTGCTCACAATAGAGTCTAGCCATTGATCCTGATAACCTCTGGGACCTGAAATAGTTTGTAGTTAACAAAAAATCTGCTAGGCAAAGCAACCAACAGAGATATATCACTTGTCACGGACCAACATTTTTGCCCCTACCTACCCCTGAGCTGCCATCAGTGCCCTAGACCCAGGAATAGTACAAATCCCTGTCTACACTTCTTTAAAGTTTTGTCTTCTACCAGGAGACACATGCAATGAAAAACAATTTCTTGTAAACTTTCATCTAAAACCTGGCAACAAACTGACATTATTAGACTCCAATTGCTGGACTCTGAATAAACACATTTTAAACTGGCAACGACTAACGCTATTTTCAGTCTTTCAGAGATTTCGGCATGGTTGAGAAATATTACCAAATTACTTTTGTTTGAAAGGGGAACTTCTGACACATATTCAGAACTTCTGTCCAACACCGAGATCGTTGGAGAAAGTCTGAAACTTACAAGTGCAACAAAAACTAGTAAAATTCGTCCTACAAAACCTCCTGGTGGATTTTGAAAGACTTGGGGCATAATATTAGAGTTAAAGTAAATGTCCACAATACCTGGTCTCATCTGAAGAAATAGCTTCTGTGGGTTAACTTGGACAATTTCTCCCGCATCTCCTGCGTCACTCAGAGGTTTGGCCTACAACCAAGAGAAAAAAAATCCCTAAATGTACCAATGACTTTTGATCCCATAGGCAAATGTCTAAGTGAAAGAAACAAATAAGTCAACAAACACAAAGTGAAAGAACTGACACAAACGGTGATCTTTATGTTAAGATGTTGTGGTGGTACATGTACAGTAGTTGGTCTTCGTCAAAACGTGACCCGAGTTCAGATCTCCCTAAGGCTAACACATGGACTGCATTTTCTTGGCTATTTTTTGTGGTTTTGTCTAGATTCCACATTTTTGTCTGAGAATTTCTCATCTGTCTGTGGAAAGCTGCTAAAAAAAGAAGAGAAAAACATGTGTTTTCTCACTAAATGCTTCAATATTTTCCCTGCTAAATTTGACTTTTACCGACATGTTATCGCTTTTTGATGGCCGGTAGGTCATTGCAGGGAAAAATTAGTGACGTCTGTGCATGGAATTCTTTCCATGTAATCTTCCATGGCTGGCCTGTGGTTATTATGAATCATGAGGAGACCTAGATCTCACCTCCACTTCTATGAGTTTATTCTTGGGGAAGTTGAGACCGTCTTCCTTGCAGCCTCTCCGTCTGAGGTTCTCGGGGAGATCGCATCTTGAATAGGAGTCATCATCAAACCCTACCCACCAAAAAAAAAAAAAGGAACAGAACAATTTAACTCAAATTTAGAAGGAACAAAAGAAAAACAAACAAAAAAGCCGACCAATTCCATTATTCTTATCACAACACTGGCATAATTTATCCTTACATGACAAACAATGATTACAATTCTGCTGACATGATATGAGAAATACGCATGTTTAAAGAAACTTTACCGTGATGAATAAAAAAAACACCCAATTCAATATTCTAGACCCATTTTTCAAATGGTTATTCCATTTTTAATACCAAATAGTCCGTCTCTAAATTTGTATTATTCAATGCCCTGAATTTGTAAAATCAATTTAAATTCCATTTATAGAACCCTGTGGAAAATATTTTTAGCTGTACTCAAATTTCCCACAAAACCCCTTGAACACACATTATATTTGCAATGGCATTTATTAAAATACCCCTTTCATTTTCTTTTTTTTAAGGAAAATCCCAGAAGCAATTTCTTTCATTTTACAATTATTCTGAATACCCAGTTGTTGTACACGTCATTCCTGCCTTAAATTTAATTCTTCTAATTTTTTTCCAATCAATTTTCTAGCATGTGTGTCATTTTCGAACCAAGGGCATGTGCCAGAAATACATTAGACCATGAGGTACATGTACATGTAGTCTGAACATTCAATGGACCGCAGAAGAAAAAAAAATCAATGACTTCCAAGCAAGCTCATGTTCTACAGGTGCAATCTACATTGTATACGTGTACTGCCAAAAGGTATGTTCTATGTCTATGCCATAAATCTAATGCATGCACAGACTTGCTCATGTGTCATACTCCCTGTGGTATGTCAAGGTTCAAGTTCAAAGTTCAAGAATACATGCTGTTGTCATAAATGCCAGCTGTACAATCTGTGTAAGATCTTTTACCAATGATTCAACTCAAATAGGGTTAAATAATCTCTGATTTTTATCACAGTACTATCGCATGTTAATACTAGCAAAAAAATCTTGAAACTAAAATGTTCATCTAGATTTCCGTATCATCTGCTCATTATAAATTTGAGGGGCTGTTGAGCAGCACAGGAAATTGACATAATTTTCTGTTGAAAATGCAGATTTATGAAACACCATTGCAGTCTTAATAAGGAAAATTCCACAAAACTAAAGGATAGAGAATTTACAGGAAGGTTAGCTTAAAAAAATCACTTGGCTGGGACAAAAATAATCGAACCCACGACCTCCTACTATAGCCCTAACCCTGCCAGACGCATCACAGTGCATCAGGTGGAAAAGTCTGGTGCACTTTGATTGAAAATGATACCAACACCAGTGCATGAACGACCACTTCTGAGACACTGAGAGCTAGTCCCATAGAACAATGCCAGAGTTGTATCCTGCTGCATTTGGTGACCACAGACTCTGAGGCAGTTTGGCCTTGAGACTTTTGGCCTGATGGATCTTGCTACACTGGGCAGGCTTGTCATTTTGACAAGTGTTGCATGTTGCTGCGTTTGGCAGGGTTTCTAGCCAAAATACCCTGGAGGGTTAGGGTTAATTAAAGTGCAGACATCTTACCACATCTGCACAAGGAAGCAGGAAGTCGTGGGTTCGATTATTTTTGCATCAAAGTGAAAACGGAAAATTTAAATTGTGTCTCGCTATAACAACTATCACTTGAGTTAATTTCAAAACACAGGAAGTGCAATTGAAGCACTTTTAATGTTCAGTATTTATCTTTCTGATTGTGGTCATACTATGTTGGTCTCATCAATCATCCAAGAAACATACATGTAGTAACTAACCTCATTATCTGACTGCCAAAAATCTTTGGAATGTTTTGTGTGTCATGAGGGCACACACACCCAAGGATATGAAAAGCAAATATTCTCTTGTAGCATCTGGTTTAAATTGTTATTCTGGTATTTTAAACAGTTTCACTTTGAAAGGAGAATCTAGTGACACTGGAAAGTATTTCAATGATTGATATTTAATTAATTCTCATCAATTAATCAAATAGAAATTTATGTCTTATGCACAAAGCCCTTTTTCTGGGGTCACAGGTTCAAATCCTCTATAAGTTATTATTGTTTTTTTGTATAGTTTTGCCCTTTGCTGACATATTTCATAAAATTCTACACTCAGTCTTGCCCGAGGGCCTGGGAAAAAAATCACAACCTTACTTGGGTGGGACTCGAATTTAAGACCTCAGGCTGCTTTTTTACATCTTTCCGAAGCAAATTCTATCTCATAAAAGTTATTTTTCTTTGCTAAAAAAACAAATATACTACTATGGCTTCCACCTTACCTTAGACTCACACCAGCCGCACTGTGGGCTTTTCACTATACACTCATCGCAACTTTTGGCAGTTGTGCACATACTGTCCGTAATAGCGGCTGGAATGAAGAATAAATATATCAAGACAGAATATTAAAAATATTGGCCAATAATAGCATTCAATTGTTACATTGTTTTGTGACATGTGGTTGCCAATTTCACAACCATGCCGGTCAGTTCTCTGAAATCAAAACCAGATTTGAAAAACCACTGCCGGAAATCCCTTATCTTGAACAGATAAAAAAAATTATCAGAACATAACAATTCAACATCATTCAACGAAAGTCCAAACTTTATCCACTTGACTGCATACGAGCTTTTTTGTGTCAAACAAATAAAATGGCTGTAGGAGTGCCACCACTATTTGTCACAAACAAAGATATCTGTAATCAGTTCCATGAAAAAACTGTACCAAGAACTTTTGAACGACTGAACAATACATGCGGATAAATGAATGTATAGAGAAGCTACTGTAGATAGAAGAAATACTTTGAACCGGAGCCTATCATGGATTTGGGTTGCGGTTGGGTAATTTTATTAGCTCGTAAAAATACTACTTATGAATATGAGGTAATGGTCCTTTAAATTTCCTTTTTGAAAAATGGCAGAAGGTCGTTGTGGGGGTAGGGAGCAGGTTTGGCCTCCCAGCCCAACTGCGTACATGTACGCCACTAAGCCCACTATTCTAAAAAATATTCACTCTTTTACTTGGGCCAAAAAAAAAAATAGTCGGTCTCTGGTCAGACCAAAGTTCCAGAATTGATGCAGTGACGCGGGTTTTTTTTTTGTTTTTTTTTAAGCATGGATTGTACATACAAGGTGGGTACTATTTTTTGCTTTTTTGTGTCCTCGTATACATTGGTGTCCTCCATAATTTGCCTTGGTGCCCTCCATCATTTGCCTTGGTGCGGTTTCCCCATTCTTGGTACAAAAATTTGAGAAGTTGCGAAAATAGAGGGCGCTATTGTAGCTACCGCGGACAATTTGAAAAAAAAAAAAAAACGGTTGACGCGCATGATTAAAATCGACGCGCGCGCTGACCAGAGACCGACTTTTTTTTTGTTGGCCTTACTAAACAATACATACCCATGTTACAACAGATACAGTAATAGCAGCTGTTATTTTTTAGTAATCACATGCATTCATTTCATTACTTCATAATTCACAAGTCAACATGCGGCATAAAAAGCAGTCTCCTTAATTTGCCTCATCACCTTGCCCACTAATTGATGAATTCTTTTAGTCCAACCATATCCGGCCTCTCGAGTGGCTTATGTACCTGCAAGGTAAGGACCAACGCTTCTTGGCCCCAAGTACCAATTTACAGACCGTCCAAGGAAATCAGATTATCGGTTGAATTTACAGGATAGTAATCTGATAATTTGATCAGGTAGGGACTGTCAGACCTTAAGGTTCAGGTAAATGTTTTTGTGTATCCGGACATGTTCATGCTTAGAGCAAGGCGTACATGGCGTATTTGAAACAGTGAATCAAATGTTTACATATTACTGGCAACAAATCTTCTAATGTGGATTTTAACCCTGACTAGTAGAAACCTTCCCTGCAAAAAATCCAACACCTGGTTTTGTAGGATTTTGACAAATTCAAGAATGTATACATGTTCATCCCGAGCCCAAATACCATGACTTTATACATTCAGATTGGTGTCCATTTTAAGTACAAACATTTATAATTCGGGCGATTCACAATGCGGTGCGCCACCAAGAGTTTGCCACGGAGAGTTCAGTTTTACCAGTGCATTGTGGGAGATGTTAGTTTTTCCTGTCAGTGGTTTCGTAAGCATATGATTCGAGGATCTGTTTGCCCATTTCTTTTCTTGTTATCAATATGGTGTTTTTTGTAAGGCGGCAGAACGCTATGCCCCAATCTATGACATGTATGTATTAGTTCAAGTTGTCTACTGACACTCATTCCGACACTCATTCCGTAAACTTGAAAAATGGACTCTCCGTGGCAAACTCTTGGTGGCGCACTGCATTGTGAATCGCCCGAATTGGTTTAGTATTAGACTTTAGTGAAGTTTGGAAGGTTTCCCATACAAAAACAAAATTCAAGCAAAACTCCACAAGATACATACATGTACATGTAGACTGATCCTATAGGCCTACATGTAAATTATACAATTTACATACAGACAATTGTGTGTTTTCAATTGATATCATTTTGTAGAACTGTTTTACTTTTAAGTTACAGTGAACTACATCCAGACACAGAAAACAATTAACAATTCAGTCTGCCAGACTGAACCAGTACCTTGTTTATATCAACATACACCTTGGTACAGTCCCAGCATGAATCAGTACCAGCTAGAATTTGAGAATAACACAAAACCCTAAATCACTGTGCCAGAAATGTTAGCAGCATCTCAGTTAAAACAATCACAGCTCACACTAATGCAAATAAACCCTCCCTCAACCCAAGACCAAATCTCCTTTAAAAAAAATTTAATATGCAAAGCAGCATACACTTAGACCCATCTCCCCATTTCCGCTAATTAAATTTACCAAGACCTTATAAATTTCATTTTATAGAATACCCCATAATACGTCGTCGGTAGGGTCAATCCCATTAACTCAGTATTCCATCCTCACACACACTCCCCGCATAGTCGGCTGTCACCTTATAAGGTAAGCCTATCACTAGTGCACATAGCTGGGTATTCCCGGCTGTACATGTAGACCACACCGTCCCATCTGTACAAACCATTCTTTGTGGTCAGTGTGTATAACTATAAAGCAGCATGCAACGTTTTTCTGCCGTGTTCTCACTAAAACATCTTGCGGGCCATTTCACCGAGGCTGCGGAATGACGAGGAGTCATCTAGCAGCGCTCGGTGGGTCGTCATCACAAGCTGGCCAGCCGGGCATGCCCACACAGTGAATCACGGCGGGCAAAATGCATTACGAACGCTGCCCAGAAAAACGAATGAGGTTGACATCTTCATTAATCACACACAGAGCTCTGCTGAATGCGGTCGCCACAATCGAGGAATAAAAAAATATAATTCCTTGAAAAGAATGTTACAGTCAGAGATGTTTTGTGCAATCACTGACATCATTAATTCTACAAAGCATTTCAGTTTGTCATATTATTTGTTCGCTCTGTAAATATCTGAAATGAAGTTCTGGTGCAGTAAACTAGCACAATGGGGTATTTATCACTTCATCAGTGAAGTAGAAAATATGCTGCATAAACATCCACAGTAAGTGTGGGACCAAAATAAATAGGGAAGCCTTTGTTGACAGACTATAGCACATGATAGTGGGCAACATTGGGACTATTCAATGGAGTATGCCATGTTATACACACACCTGCATGTTTGCTCGGTATGCAAATTGTTGGATTAGTCATAGGATCACAATACCTGTACGAGGCTACAACGGTATTTAGATATCGTTGTGAAAGTTTGAAAGTACAATTTTTTGGAATGTTAATTGTTATATTATTCACTTTTTAAGTCTTAATGCTTTCCAGTTTATTATGTAAACCATACATGTAATTATGGTTTAAACCCTAACCTCACCTAAAAGCTACAAAATACTACTAAACATTGTAAATATTAAACTATAGTTTGCAGTACTTCAGCATATAAGTGGGCACAACACTCATAGTATTTTCTAATATTTGGTACCAGCATACATACTATGTTTAATAATAATTTTTGTAGTACTTTGTAGTACATGTATGTGGTACTTTACCCCAAATGAACTCCTTGGGGATTAAGGCTAATTTGTAATTTGTCGTTATACCACAGAATGTCGAATTTTAAATTAATAATGATCGATTGATCTCCTCTAATTTTAATGCTAAATATACAAATTTTAGAAATTATGTGAATTGTAAAAAAATTAACTCATCCTTGTTTGTTGTAAATAAGTATTGTTGCTTTGTACTGATCGACTTACAGTAATGCACAGGTACATGTATAATTCAAAACCTAGCATACTGCACATAATTTATAGACTCCCGGGCCAGTGTATGGTACATGCGCTGAATGCCAATTCATTATTAAAATGGGCACAAATAAATTGTTCAAGCTATGTCATCCGGTCTAATATGGAATGGACAGAAAAATATATTCTTGCAGCAATGACAGATCATTACCGAGTAATAAATTTACTGCAACTGGAAACCGAATCTGAAATTACATGCACTGAGACGTTGTGACGGGCCCATAAAGCAATTCAAATTAAATTATGGGAGTCTCGTTTTAATGTTTAAATTGGATAAAATTCAAGGCTTAGTCGATTACCATCAGGAATTTAAGTGCATAAAATATTATTTTAGTCCTTGTGCCATGGAATATGTTTATTTTTCCCCGTACATTTTGAATCAGTTACAGTTTCAGTTTTCATAATTCACTTGTTGCAATTTTGTATTATTCTTTCTCATGCAAGTCAGCATCCAGTCTCCAGAAAGAATGGTCACCACGAACTGCAGCATCACTACAT